TCACCTGAAAAGGGTACATCTCTGAGAACGGTGGGTCCCCAGCCCCTCCACAGGGACAGAAGTCCATTCTGGGCCACAGCAGAGCGGATACATGTCTGCAGCTCGCTGTAGGACAGCTGACGGGACTGCATCTTGGTCCTGACCAGTTCCAGTGGGCTAATCACCGTCACGGCTCCCACTGCAAAACAGACACAAAGGTTTCACTTAAAGAGCACTGTCAGTACTTTGCTGTGATTTCTGTGTGGGGAGCTTTTGTTTTATTCCATGCACTTACATCTGGCAAGACCCCCAGCAACAAGAGGGACATGACTGCCCTGAAGACCCACACCGAATCTCAGGAAGTCCCGCAGCTGGTCGTAGCAGGTGAAGTAAATGACAGTGGCAGGTACTGCCATCACCCTGTTAACATAAACAAAGATTTCGAACAGAGGAACTGCACACTTTGCAACATATCAATGGAAAGTTCTCATAAAATTATAATAATATGCAAATTTTTTACTAGAATGAGACTGACGTGTCAGGTACTAAAATGCAGCTTTAGCGCAAGAAGTACTTTATTAAACCAAGTTCTGCTATTTATTTTTTGTTTTTTTAATTTCTTCTCTTTTCTCCAAGACACTCACGGTTTCCTTTTCTCTAAAACTCAGTGATATTTAATTCAGTTGAAGCTATGCACATTGAGTGCAATGCTCCAAATACTACACTCTTTCAAAATAAAACTGTACTTACTTAAAGTTTAAGAAATTTAATTCTGAATTTAGGTCTTCTTACACTTCAGTTCTGTGTCTATTCTACGAGTACTGAAACTTTACTAGATGTTACTCACAAAGTTGGTGGTAGCCCGCTCCACAGAGACCGAAGACCTTCATGGCGAGTGATTTTCACAAATGCATCCTGTCGCACAAACAAAAAACAAAAAAGAGAGCTTATATGATGTTAATTGTAAACCAATTGTAGGAAAAACAAAGCCACTAATGCATGACTACTCACAAGAGTCCCGCTGAACTGAGTGGGCTTTTTGTACCAGCTGGTGCAACTGGTTCTATTCTGACAAACATAGATGTGATCCATCAGCCCATTACAATACAGGAAACACTTCCCTGTGAGGAGGAACATGAGGTGGTCAGAGGAAGAGAAAACCACACTCAGATTATTAGCTATTAAAAAGACAAACAAACAAAAAACAACTATGATTAAAAAACAAAATTAGCACATCTCACAATAGCAATGTGAAGCTACAAGTGTTTCCTAAACTGAGTCACACAAGCTTTCACACAGGAGAGAAATGTCATTAATAATACAGGCAAAAGCAATGACCGCACAGCTGCTCTGTAGATAACACAGTCCTGTCCTTGCCTCTGCCAGTTTACTTAGTGCCGATTACCGAGAAACCTTTCAAACAAAGTCTAAAAAAAAAAAAAAAAAAAAAAAAAAAAAAGAGGCAGAATTCACATGAATGTATTTACAAGGGGAACTTTCTGTTTTCACTACCAGAAGACATTTGTTTTTAAAGCAGAAAACCAGGTATGCTAATCTACATCTGATCAAGTGTTAGCAACGGCGGGGCAAATACTTACACTTGGAATGACGTGAGACACCATCCCACGGAGCAGAAAAAGACGCTGAAGCTATGAAACGAAGGACAGAGCACAAACACAGGAGGACAGGTTTAGTGGGGTTAATGTTAAGAGCAAAGCATCACAGTAAAACATGTTAAAAGCAAACTCAGTAAACCACAAAAGAACAAGAGGTCCTACCTTGGTGGAACGGTGTCTGCTGAGCCTGCAGCCTGATCTTCACAACGTTTAGTGGCGTGACTGCAAACACAAGAATGAATTTAGTTATCACAACCACACAAGAGCTGATAAACAATTAACTCAGTGCCAATGCTAAGACACAGAGAACAACTCCAGCCTTTGTTTCTTTCTCACCAAACAGAGATGTGATGAGGGCTCCAGTGCCAGAGGCCAGCATCTGCTGCACTGGAGAGATCGCAGCCACGGGGCCACTGACGCCTCGCTCGCCCATCCTGCCAACCTGTCAAGACCAAGAGAAACAGCATGTAACACCAAGGTTTCAATCACATTAATATTTAAAACCATAGCTTTAAAAAACGCTCTCCACCCTTAAAAAATTTGTAGTGGTTCAAACATGGTCTTGCACTCAAACTAATTGATCAATTATCAGCAGCAGTTTGAGATTAATTTAATAGTTGTTATTCAATAACCTGTCTAATCCTTGCAGTTCTGGAGTCAAGAATAGTGTAATTATGTTGTAATACCCATCTTGAAAAATAAACTACAACTAAAAGTTTTCAGACAATAAAAACTTGGGTCAAAAAGCTAAAAAAGCAATTTCTAAATGTGAAATTTAAAAGTATAATTACACATGTGTGAGAATGTAAACTGAGATAACACGAGGCGTATATTAACTAAACTTGACAGAGCCGCCTTACCATTTTACACAACACTATCTCCCTGTTATGTAAAACTGTGAGGAAGGAGTGTCAGTGACTCAAAGGATCAGTAACCAAACACTGAGTTTGCAGCTGGATCAGTATCCGGTTAGATCACAATTCCTAGTGTGTGACTCCTGCTCCTGAGAGCCTTCAAATTACTGTCACTAAAACCCTTTTTAAAAGTTTTTTCAAGTTTCACAGACTTTGCATTCGTCTCCATGCATTACGAAGAGTTAAACTGTCATATAATGCTCAGAATTCACTCTGAGAAGCTTGAATTTAAGGAAATTAAGAAATATAAACCAGACAAAACTGGAAGCCAGGTTTTTTTTTTTGGATTATTTATATGATGATAAAAAGAAACAACTTAAAGGAAGTGGAACATCTGGAGGAGGAAAAGCACTGTTATTGACAGCATTTCAGTTCATTGTTAAGACACAGTTCATCATTTCTATTTGACACAAATTTAAGTGCAAAAAGAACTATGTGCGTAGGAAGGGTGAGTCTACAGTAGGTGGAGTTGTTAAAGCATTATGATAACTTATCTATAACACGCATGCCTTGTCTTCTTGCCCACTCCTAAATGATGGAGCATGTTGCAGAAAAAAACCCCAGACAACTTTGTTTAAACAAAATAAAGTTAAAGAAAACATGTACTGCATTGTGAAAACTTCCTTACTGTGTAGTTGACCTCTGCTTCCTTGGCTAACTTTATTATAGTTTAGAGTGACAAGAATAGCCCTCAGCCTTGGTCTTCCCAATAAGCTTCTTTGTCTGGCCAAGTCTCCTTCCACCAAGTGCCCACAACACACATGCAGCTCAACAGCTCCTTCTCCCTTTTTAATCTCTCTTACACAATGCTGCATGGATAATTGTCACGTCTGACGCCAGATAAACATTTCACATGTGCTGACAGAACATGAGAAACTGCAGATTACATGCTTCTCTGCAAACAAAACAAAACAAAAAAACTGCTGCACAACACAGCGGATGCACGAAGACATCGCGTGCTAGGACATTGTGTTCTTTCCCCCACTTAAGTTAGCTGACTTTGGTTGTAATAGAATTAAAACATGTGAAGTCCAGATAGATAAGAGGAGGAATAGCTGCCTTTCAAGGCAGCTGTGAATGCAGTGATCACATTCGTTGAAGCAAACCTTTCTGAAATGTGCTGTCAGCCACCTGCGTTTCACTGCACATTATCTGAGTCGCTAGCTAGCTAGCTGTTTACAAGCGACGTTTCTCACCTCTGCTTTAGCTGTGAGCGTTGCCGGGAAACACACAGGTGTCTTCACCCATATCAGTTAAGAGCTACACCATTCTGCCGTGTTTCGTCTGATTATTCGGGTGCTCCACCGTGGATAACCCGTAAACATCTTGTTGGAGGCAGCTTAGCTCGCCTCAGAGTGCAGGCTACAAGCTATGCACGTCGACTTCATAATCATGGACGCGCAGTCATGGGCGTATCATAACCGCAGGAGGCCTGTGCGCATGATTTGTAGATCCGGACTGATCAGGAATGGACTCGCTTGGCTCCCCCCCCGCTGTCGCTACCGTTGCTTTGGCGCCACCTGGAGGACCCATTGCACTTCGCTGACACATGAAAAAAAGTTTTTCCGTTAGTCAGGCGTATCCGTATCCTGAACAACGAAGCATCACACTTTACACAAGAAGAAAAGGGACATCCATTCATTACACTGTAATTAAAGTGCCGCGTTTAAATCCTCCCAGACGTTTACATTGATAAATAAACTGTAGTCAACATGATTTATGAAAGGGTTACAAAATAAAGACATGATCTATTTAGCATGGCTTTGCTTTATTCTGTCTCCATTCCAATTAACCCGCTACTTTTTCTTCAGTTACAATATCTTGATAGAAGTGTTATGTTATAAGTTATGTTGTGTGTCTGCTGCCCTCTTGGCCAAATGTCTCTTGAAAAGTAGATAGATAGATAGATAGATAGATAGATAGATAGATAGATAGATAGATAGATAGATAGATAGATAGATAGATAGATAGATAGATAG